ACAGATGGAAGGGCTCTGTATTTTTCTGGTCATTCTGCTAGGTAATATTTGGTAGACTCATTCAGTTTGAATATATTTTATTCATTGTGTTATATTAAATTAATGCGTTCATTGTCAGCGCTGTAATGAGCAGTAATCTGCATTTAGTGTAGTGGGATACACTGTGTTACTCTGTTGTAATGCACACTCATCACATTTATATTTGATTTTGTGATTGCTTTCATTTTGCTGTAGTAGTATCATGCACTCATGACTGGACCTCTGGATCAGAGTTGGAGATGACAGTCAGACCAGGAGACGACATCACTCTCTACTGTGACTGCAAGTTATCATCCGGAGTATACATCATGTGGTACAGGAACTGCTCTCATGAGAACCAGCCTTCTCTTGTCCTTCATGTAAAAGAATGGAGAAGATACTTTATGGATATAAACTATTCTCTGAATCCTCTACCTCGTTTCCACTTTGTGAGAAACTCTTCCTCCGAGTCCTATGACCTGCTGATCATTAACATCACTGAGACCGATGAAAGGCTCTACTACTGTGGAACTGATCAGTTTAAGTTGGAGCAAAACGAACGACTTACTTTCACACATATTTACACAAATGTCAACATCTCAACAAGGATCCATGTCAGTGAGTATGCTGTTCTTACTAATCGATTTATCTTAATTGACAGTATTAAAAAAAAGCTTCATCTACAAAATTAAATCTTTCAATTTTGAGGCAAACTGAGAAAAATTCAAATGTAAATCTAGATATGTATTTGTTCCAGATTCCAGCTCATGCCCTAACCCCGGTGGACACATTTTGAACCCTGATGTGCCCTGGATGATGGTGCTCACTCCAGCCTTTACTATTCTCACCTCCTTGATTTCCTTTATTCTGGTGTATCTCTTCTGTCAGAAAACAGGTACTGTTGTCGCACAATTCTTTTCCCTACTATTGTTTAAAAGAAATTATGTAAAATCTATTATTTATACATAAAGGAAAGCTCTAATAGTGAACTATATTTTCATAGGTGCAGTCGGTGGTACTTTGTAATGTTGTTGTATTTTATTTTGCAGATAAGGATCCTCAAATTCTCCAGAAAAGACTTAACACCAGGATTCAAACAAGATGGGATCAGGTAATGAACACAGGACATTTAGGAAATGTACAAAGTCTACACTGATCTATAACAGCAACTTTTAGCAGTCATCTCCTCGTCAACAGTGGTTTCATATTTCACAGTTAGACATCTTTATTTATAACAGCAAACAATATTTCTAAATAACAAATGTCAAATGATCTCTCAGGATGAAGATTTGTGTTTCACACGAGTTGTGTTCCGAGCGAAGGATGGAAGAAAACAACAATAGACGGAAAATGGACAACAATATCACATTCACACTGTTTAGGCAGAAACAAACTAAAGTGCAAGGAGTTCAGATTCAGAAGGTTTACATTCATGTGCTCAGTTTAAGTATTCAATCCCTCCTGCTTTTCTCTCAGTTGTTGTGCCAATTTATTAGATCATGAAGTGTTGACGTGTTTTATAAAGATTGGGTTTAGTGCCTCTTTACCTGTTCTTACTGATATCTTATTAATAAGCTGTGTTCAAACAAAATGTTATCATCAACTAACAAAATGCTCCTTTCCTTATTGATGAATGTGGTATCATTACATATATTTGAGTCCTGATAAAAATGATCAATATAAGAACAAATAATAAATACATTGAAAGGATAGCAGGATGAACATTTCAGTATTCTAGAAAAACAGTACAATTCTAAATATTTTAGATACATTTTACATAGCCTACTTTTTGATCCAAGTGAATTGACTTAATTCAGGATATTTCTCTCTTTCTCGTCGCTCTTTGACTGTTGGATGTGCCAACACGATATCTGCATATTTGTTCCTTAACTAAGTTGATGTGACTTAAAATGTAATGTAACATTTAACATTAATTTATATCCAATGTGACATTATCAAAAACATTACCTCCTATTAATGTATTTTGTTTTTCTACGAAATATTATCGATTGAATGACAGACCCTTTAGTAGACCATAATAATTAAATTAATCATTCATAATACAGGTTATTATTTAGGACTTCTGTTATTGGCATTAACCACAACATATTGTATCCAAATTCACTCATGAAAGAAATGTAATGTATTTCTTAATGTTTTCATTCTTTCCAAATTGAACTTTTTTGTTTCAGTTTGTTTTATTTCTTTCCACAACTCCAATAAGAAGTTACACTTGATCAGATGTGCAGATCAACCTCCATGTGTAATTGTATTTCCTGTTTGCTATTATTAAATACATTTAAACTTCTAGTTCACATTTTTGACTGAAATTAATCGCTAACATTTCATAATGGTGTTTTATAATTATTGCTCTGCAACAAGACACAACATTTATTTTCAGACAATTTCCTGTTTTTATCTGAAATGGCTATCGGCCCCCACCCTTCACCAGTGGTCTGAGACAATTCAAAGTAAGCTTTACAGGAAACCCACAGTGACGAACATCCCCTCACTCGCTCAGCATGCAGAGAGACGGAAGCTGCAGATAGTGACCTGCTGAAGGTGTTGGTGGAATTAATCAGTGAACGCATCATAACTGTGAGATCAGATAACACGAGATCTGGTTGCACTGTGCAACAGGGCCATTAGTTGCAGACAGATGCAGAGAGTGGTTTCATACAAAGTCATATTCAAGATGTTCATCTGCACTGTTGAGTCTGAATAACAACTTGTGGCATTTTTGGATAGAACATTATTTGTTAAAACAAAAAATGCTTCTTCTACTTATGTTTATATTTATCAAAACTCTTTTATCTATAGAGAAGAGTTTGGGTAGCTCAGAGAGGTTATGTGGTTCATTACATCAGAAGGAGAGATCTGACCCATTTCAACACATCTTCCCTGTTTCCTCCTTGTTGGCAGGGGCGCCGTAAGGGGGTGAAAAGTTATTCTAAGGGCCCGTGACTGACAGGGGCCCAAAAATGTTTAGAACATTAAGAAAAAATGTTCTTAATTTGTAACCTTTCATCATTTATCAATAATTAACATTAATAGAACGTTATATTGATAATGTACTCACTAAACTTACGATTCATTACGATACGAACTTTTTTTCTTCCAAAAGTTAACTATCCAAAGCCTCTGTACACCCCCCTCTATTTACATGTAATGGTTTGGTCCTGCCTCCAAACGCGGTGCGGCACCGGCCCTTTCTAGCAGAGAGTGAGAGCATGTGAGGGTGGATGTTAGTACTTACTGTACCATGTCTCAACGACTAACAAAGTCAGGCTTTCAAAAAAGAAAAGAAAGGAGAGAAAGACAAGAGAGAGGGCCTAAAGGGCGACAGTATGCCACCCAGTTTTTCAAAAGAAAAGGTGGGTGTGGTCCATGAGTGGTGGAAATTAGTCTGTTAGCTAAGCTTAGTCCATTGTAAATAATAATTGTAATGTTTTGCTGACATAAAGTACTGTTAATATCTAATATAGGTTTTTAATTTCACTCCTCTTTTAGCTGACATTTAATAAATGCAGGTACATTTTTAGCAGCTATTCATACTAAATCAGTTGTCCCTCCCCCTGGTGCCAGGACCAACAGATCCACATTTAGGCTCAGCAGCCCTGTCCCCCCATAAGGCTTTGCAGTCTTGCCATGCTGTCCATTGAAAGCCAGTTGGCTAGAAAGCTGGACTTCAAGGACTTGATCAGTGACTTTGCCTGTAAGAAGGCTAGGCGCTGGGCTCTTGGTGAGTAAGGCTGAGCAAGGGCTCGTAATAACTGTTAAAGGGCAAGGCTATGGTAACGATATTGGATCACTACACACAAGATGCATGATGAGAAAAAGACTGAGAACAGGTAATAGGCTCTGATTTAGCACCACCATCAGGCCTTTTCATTTCCGTTTCCATTTTGTTGTCCATTTACACTTTAATACCCGCTTATTTTGTAGTTGGTATGTATATTTAATAAAATAATCTGCTGCTTATGTTATTTTTTGTGTTATAGTATTTTATAAATGATAATATTGGTGTTAATGTTCACTTCATTTTAATTTAAAAGGTCATGTATATTTAAGTTATATTTATTTGGATTTATGAATATTCCATTCAAAAATGTTATTATTAAAAAGGCATTTACAGCATAAAAGATGACTATTGAGGTCGACAGTATAGAGTGCCACAGTGACGCGTCCTAAAACCCGGAAGTAAGCTGTGCATGGGTTCCTTCGACAAAAAAGCAATGCAATTTCTCCATAGGATTTTGGAAAATAGCTGGAAATAAGGTCTGTGGTTGACACACATTTAAGAGACGGATCATGTTTTGTTCAGTCGGATAATCTCCACATGTCTACCCTACTTTTATCATTTTCGAATCATAAATCTATCGATCATAAATCTATCGATTAGGGTTTTAGGACGTGTCACTGTGGCACTCTATTGTCAGGAATGTTAGTCTTATATCAAATAGTGAATTCTACTGCAGCAGAATGTTGCACGTCTGCACAGTGTTATATATTCACAGCTCAGTGTCAGTAAATATTGTGCAGTTAGTATTGGACTTCAAGATAGATGCAAGCCTGTACAGGTGGAGTTATTTAAAGCATAAATGGGTCGGTTGGGTTCTGGAGGTGTTTACAGCAATTGTGCTTGGTTGGCGTGGCCTGAGCCTGGTGGTGGGGCCCAATGTGATATCTTTTCATGGGGCCCAAAATCCCTGGCGGCGCCCCTGCTTGTAGGACAATGTTTTTAATTTGCAAAAATCTCCAAAACCTGCTTTTGGGATAGCAGCGTTTAAAGTAATGTTTTTGTTTGTTTTTAGAGCAGACAATTGAAACCACACACACATATAATAATCACTCACAATCTATACCCCAAGCGGGTTTTGAACCCCCATCTCTGTGTCAAACGTGTGACTTTCACACTGGGCCACTTCCAGCGCAAAAAAATGTGTTCAGTTCAACGTGCCAATCACAACTGACATGTCCTTAAATAGAAAAGTCTGGGCAGGTCAGTACATCCAGCAGTAAGACCTTTCACGTTTTTCTTCATCAGGTCATCATCACAGATGGAAGGGCTCCGTATTGTTCTGGTCATTCTGCTAGGTAATACTTGGTAGACTCATTCAGTTTTAATATATTTTATTCATTGTGTTATATTAAATTAATGCGTTCATTGTCAGCGCTGTAATGAGCAGTAATCTGCATTTAGTGTAGTGGGATACACTGTGTTACTCTGTTGTAATGCACACTCATCACATTTATATTTGATTTTGTGATTGCTTTCATTTTGCTGTAGTAGTATCATGCACTCATGACTGGACCTCTGGATCAGAGTTGGAGATGACAGTCAGACCAGGAGACAACATCACTCTCTACTGTGACTGCAAGTTATCATCCGGAGTATACATCATGTGGTACAGGAACTGCTCTCATGAGAACCAGCCTTCTCTCGTCCTTAATCCAAAAGCATGGAGAAGAGACTTTATGGAGGAAAAACATGTTCTGAATCCTCTACCTCGTTTCCACTTTGTGAGAAACTCTTCCTCTGAGTCCTTTGACCTGCTGATCGTTAACATCACTGAGACCGATGAAGGGCTCTACTACTGTGGAACTAATCAGTTGAAGGTGGAGAAAAACAAACAATTTACTTTCACAGATATTTACACACATGGCAACATCTCAACAAGGATCCATGTCAGTAAGTATGCTGTTCTTACTAATCGATTTATCTTAATTGACAGTATTAAAAAAAAGCTTCATCTACTAAATGAAATCTTTCAATTGTGAGGCAAACTGAGAACAATTCAAATGTAAATCTAGATATGTATTAGTTCCAGATTCCAGCTCATGCCCTCACCCCGGTGGACACATTTTGAACCCTGTTGTGACCTGGATGATGGTGCTCACTCCAGCCTTTACTATTCTCACCTCCTTGATTTAGTTTATTCTGGTGTATCTCTTCTTTCAGATAACAGGTACTGTTGTCGCACAATTCTTTTCCCTACTATTGTTTAAAAGAAATGATGTAAAATCTATTATTTATACATAAAGGAAAGCTCTCATAGTGAACTATATTTTCATAGGTGCAGTCGGTGGTACTTTGTAATGTTGTTGTATTTTATTTTGCAGATAAGGATCCTCAAATTCTCCAGAAAAGACTTAACACCAGAGGCCTGTACTACGAAGCTGGTTCAACCTAACCTGGATATGTTTGAGTTAGCCGGTTGGCCCAATCCAAAACATACGCGCTCTCGCTAAACTGTACTACGACGCTGGATATCAAGTGGATCGCTCAAGCCAGCCGTGTCCTATCTAGTTAGGTGCGCGTTCACATGAAAGGGGTGGTATTTGGAGCATTCGACCAATCTCAAACATGGACAAGCGTACTGACAGCGCAGCGTCATACTTCCTGAATGAACTTTAATATTAGTCAAATATGAAGAAGTTAAACTTTAAACATCCATGACTTAAACACTTTATCCAGGATAAAAGCCACATAGCTGCACCTGCAAGGTGAATACAGCTGGTAAAAGAAAAAGCGTTTGAATGCGTACATTAACTAAAATTAATTACATTTGACTCGAGTGTTTCGTCAACTTAATGTGTTGCTTAAAATAATACTTCTGCATACAGTATGTGACACTGTGAGTGTTGCACGGCCAGATACGGCTCAAGAAGCTGACTCAAATAAGGAAATATATGATTCATTATGATGTGATATGATATGAATGATAATGGGACACATCGACGTCTGCACTCACAGTGCCGCGGACTGTAATGTTACTTTGATCCGGTTACTTATGTTGTGGCAGATATTTAAGTAAGCTTTCTTAACGCTAATGTTATAATAGTCAGATTGCTCTGAAGATGGGAGGGGATATTCTATTAATTTTCACGTTCACAGTCAGTTGATTTTTGCCGGTGTGGTGATTGACATTATTCACCCACAGATCTATGGGTTGGGGTATTGTTCCGCACGGACATTTTAGTGAACCGGACTTTCTGTTTCCGCCGGTTTTAGCTTCCCGGGCATGAAGTTGTTGACATGTGAGTTCAGATGCTAAATAAAAGTCTAGCTTGTTCTTTTGATACCCCGCCTCCGACTCCCGTCTCTCGGCACCACATTGGTGACCACTACGTAAATCTCGTTGAAGGATCCGAGACTGTTCCGAACATGGCAAATAACGCCGTTTTTTTCAAACTGCCGGAGTTTTGGGAGACATCTGCGGCTGCATGGTTCGCTCAGGCGGAGGCTCAGTTCGCCCTCCGCGGAGTTACTGATGACGCAGCGCGCTATTTTCACGTCGTTTCGGCGCTGGGGAGCTCCACTGCAACCCGGACGGTGGGCTTTATCACATCTCCCCCTGCCCAGGATAAATATGCAGCGTTCAAGGCTTTCCTGCTAAAGACGTTCGAGCTGTCACTGTGAGGATCTGCAGTACTTCCTCCTTCTTTTCCTCTTCTATGTTTATTTTGTCTTCCTGGCTGGGCGTGGCTGACCTACATTCTGATTCCCGCCAACTCATCTCCACTGCTGTTGTAAATCTCACTGATTGCCACTACTCACCTGCACCTGCTTAAAACCCTGGTTCCCATCCTCAGACTTCGCCAGTTCTTCGTTTATCCTTCAGTGGTAACTATCGTCCAGGCCTACTAGCAGTATTCTAGTAAACCTTTTGATACTCCTAGTGAAAGGTTATTCCTTTCTCACCCTGCATCTTTATTCTTCCAGACCTACACACACCTGCCGCTCTGCTTGCCACGTCCAGCCTCCGACTCCTCGTCTGAGTTCCCTCCGTGCTTCCACGCACACCAGCTCATCCAGACTACGTTTGCCAGCTCTGGATTCCCGGCTCTCCTCGGCGGTGTTTCCTCCGTGCCTCCACGCACACCAGCTCATCCTGTCTACATTCGCCAGCTCTGGATCTCCGGCTCTCCACGCCGGTGCGCCCTCCGTGCATCTCCGCACCTCCGTCTCCCCCTGAGCTATCCAGCTCCACGTCTGTCTTCTCTGAGCTCCTCTCTACACCTTGCCTGTGCCGTGGTCAAATAAAGACTATTGTTTGACACTTCACCACTGTCTCCGTCTAGTGTTTGCGTAGCGGGTTCTCATCTCCAGTCACTTCTCGGGAAGCGTAACAGAAGAACTGGCCAACAATGAACCCCGCAGGCACTGGAGCGGATCCCGCCACAGTCCATCATGCCCTGTCTAGTCAGGGTTCCCTTCTGGGTCAACACGACCAGCTCATTCGGGCGTTAGTCGAGAGCAATCAATCCATGGCTCATCATGTCTCTGAGTTAGCTTGCCAGATCTCAGCTCTAACTACCTCGGCTGCAGTTTCTCTTGCCACTCCCAATCCAGCTTTTTCTCCTACTCCACGCCAGGATTTCCCCATCACCGACCCTGAGCCATTCCACGGTGAGGTGGAGAGATGCAGAGGATTTCTTTTCCAATGTAACAAAGTTTTTCGCCAGCGTCCTGTTTCGTTTGCAGCTGATGTTACCCGGATTAATTATGTTCTGAGTTTGCTCCGTGGCAAGGCTTTAACCTGGGCAGAGGCTTTGAGCTCTTCAGTGGACTATGACAATCTGCGTTTTGAATGCTTCTCTGAGCGTTTTTCTGCTGTCTTTGATCATCCCAATTATTCTGGCTCCGCCGAGAATCAGCTGCTCGGTTTACAACAGGGAAACCGGAGTGTGGCCGAATATTCCATCGAGTTTCACACACTCGCTGCAGAGGCTCGATGGGACGAGGCGGCTCTCAAGGCGGTGTTTTTGAGAGGATTAAAGGATCAGCTCCGGGATGAATTAGCTGCACGAGACGTTCCAGCGGATCTCCAAGATCTGATTTCCTTGGTGTCCCGCCTGGACTGTCGTTTGCGGGAGCGCAGAGCTGAGCGGACACAGCGGAATCCACCTGTCTCACACAGTAAGCCCAGTTTTTCCACCTACCCTGTTCCCTCTGTGTTTAAGTCTCCCTCCGTTTTCTCGCCGCCCAGCGGGCGCACCTCTTCTCACGAGGAGGCTATGCAACTGGGTCGCGCTAGACTATCTCCGGAGGAGCGTCAACGTCGGGCGTGTGCTGGCCAATGCATGTATTGTGGCAACGCTGGGCATGTCATTGCCAACTGTCCTGTACGCCCAAACGTGGGAGCTCGTCAGTGAGATTGGGGGTCCTGACGAGTCCACAGCCATCTTCTCTACCTCCTTCCTTGTGCCGTTTTCTAATACCCGCCAAGATTTGTGTTAATTCTATGACTTTGCCTATCCAAGCTCTCATTGATTCTGGTGCTGAGGATAGTTTTTTGGACCGTGAGCTAGCTGAACAGCTGGGACTCTGCCTGGAGCCGTTAGATGAACCTCTAACAGCCTATGCACTTAATGGACAAATAATCTCCTCTGTAACAGCACAGTCAGCCCCTTTGACATTGATCACCTCCGGCAACCACAGAGAGTTCATCCAGTTAAAGGTAATCTCTGCACCTTCCACACCTCTGGTATTGGGTTATCCGTGGCTTCGCACCCACAACCCACACATTGATTGGGTCAAGGGAAAGATCATTGAATGGGATCAGCACTGTCTCGCTAACTGTCTGTTATCTGCCGTACCTCCTGTCTCTGTCTCCCCAAACTCTGCTGCTTCTGTAGACTTAACTGGAGTTCCTGCGACCTACCACGACCTGAGATTGGTCTTCAGCAAGGAGAGGGCTCTCTCTCTTCCTCCTCATCGGCCCTACGACTGCTCTATAGATCTGTTTCCTGGGGCTCCTCTACCCACCAGCCGCCTCTACAACCTGTCCCGTCCTGAGAAGGAGGCTATGGAGCTATATATCACGGACTCAGTGGCTGCTGGGATTATTCGTTCTTCCTCCTCTCCCGTGGGTGCCGGTTTCTTCTTCGTTGGCAAAAAGGATAAGTCACTGCGACCTTGCATTGACTTTCGTGGGTTAAACAACATTACTGTTAAGAACAAGTACCCATTACCCCTTCTCACCTCTGCTTTTGAACCTCTCCATGAGGCAACCCTGTTCACCAAGCTTGACCTTAGGAACGCCTATCATCTGGTCCGTATCCGTCAAGGGGATGAATGGAAGACGGCTTTCAACACTCCCTTAGGTCATTTTGAATACCTAGTCATGCCCTTTGGACTCACTAACGCTCCAGCAGTATTTCAGGCTCTGGTCAACGATGTTCTGCGTGATTTCCTTAACCGCTTTGTCTTTGTATACATAGACGACATCCTGATTTTCTCCAAAGACCAGGAGGAACACGAGAACCATGTCCGCCTGGTGCTTCAGAGACTGCTGGAGAACAAGCTCTATGTCAAGGCTGAGAAGTGTGAGTTCCACCAGAACCTGATCAGCTTCCTGGGCTATATCATTAGTCAGGGCAGAGTGGAGGCAGATTCTGGAAAGATCGAGGCTGTGGTCGAGTGGCCAGCCCCTACTACGAGGAGGGAGCTTCAGAGGTTTCTGGGCTTCGCCAACTTTTACCGCCGCTTCATCAGGAACTTCAGTAAGGTTGCTGCACCTCTCTCAAGACTCACCTCTGTCAACATTAAGTTCTTCTGGACCCCAGAGGCTAATGAGGCTTTTCTCAAACTCAAGTCCCTGTTCACCTCTGCTCCCATCCTCATCCAGCCAGACTCTGAGAAGCAGTTTATTGTGGAGGTTGATGCGTCAGACACTGGGGTGGGAGCTGTCTTGTCACAAACTGCTGGTTCTAATAACATCCTTCATCCTTGTGCTTTCTTTTCACGCCGCCTCTCTCCTGCTGAGCGCAATTATGACGTTGGAAACAGGGAGCTTCTGGGAGTAAAGTTGGCGTTAGAGGAGTGGAGACACTGGCTCGAGGGCAGCAAGCAGTCATTCCTGGTCTGGACAGACCACAAGAACCTCGCCTACATCCAGTCAGCGAGACGGCTGAACTCTCGACAGGCCAGATGGGCTCTC